AAACCACTCACTTCACAGCCAGGAAGCAAAAAAGAAAGGAAGGAACCAGGGTCCCACAATTCCCTTCAAGAACCGACCCCCCAGTGACCTAGTGACCTCCTATTAAGCCCCAGTTCTTAAAGGTTCCACCAACTCCCAATGGTGCCACCCTAGGAATCAAGCATTTAACATATGGGCCTTTGGTGGATATTAAGATCCAAACTATAACATAAGGCAAGATGCTATTATTACCTTCAGCTAATAATAAGTACATATGTTTGACACTATGTATATGTATGTTCCTTTGTAGGTTTAACCCATGGGTATGGTTTTATTTTATATGCACATGCAGGTTTAATTTAAAAAATTTTTTTCTCTAATTAATATGCTAGAACTTTACACTATCCAATATGGTAGCCACTAGACACTGGGGCTATAGATTATTTGGTCCCAGTGAGAAATCAGAAGTGCTTTAAGTGAAAAATACAAGCTTTTTGAGACCTAATATTAAAAAAGAATTAAAAATACCTCTTTTTTGTTAATTATTGAAATATATTTGGAATATCTATTACTAAAATTGATTTTACCTGTTTCTTTTGGCTATTAGAAAATTTAAAAAACTACCTATGTGATTAGCTTCATGTTTCCACTGGATGGCACCATGCTGGAGATACATAGTCCATAGTGTTCTGCCAGCCAAATAGTCAAGAATGTGCACTTGCTGGAGTGTTTGTGGCCATAGACAAGGTGCTGCTCTCTCAGGTGTGCTTCTATCCTAACACCTGTATCTTGAGCTAAACTGGTGGCTCCCAGCCCTGCTTTCATAGTAGAAGCACCTGGGAGGTGTTAGTTACCTGGGCACCTGGGTCCCATTCAAAGACTTTCTAATGGACTTTCTGATAGTCTGGGCAGCCCAACACCCAGAGTGTTATAAGCGCCCAAGTTGTTTCAAGATGCAGCCCAGTTCTGGAGGTGGTAGGCACTTGCTTAGCATGTGTAAGGTCTTGGATTTGATCCCCAGCACCTCAAAAAAAAAAAAAAAGTAGCTCAAGCTGAGAGTCACCTGTCTAAATAGGAACAGTGGACACTAAGTCTTGGTGACAGATGACTGGGTAAGTAATATATGTTTTCATAGTTCACAGTTGAGCCTCTGGCTGGAATTAGAGAACAGAGTTGTAAAAAGGATAAGGCAAGCAAAGTCTCCGTTTTGGCAGGGAGCCTCGGAATGGAATAAAAGCATTTAAAAGACCTTCTGTGTGAGAGAAACCCACCTTGTACATCCTAGTGAGGGCAGGAGAGGAAAGGAATGGAGCTCAAAAAGGCAGAGGGAGGCCCCTGCTGGAAAATGCCTTATGCTGTGTGTAGTGACATGTACCCCAGGAACCCAAGGGCAGTTCTATGATCCTAGAGGGGCAGCCATGGATACCCCTGGGCCTCAGGCTCCTCACTCCATGCTGCCAACTCACCTGGTAAGCAGTGTGTGTGTGTGAGAGAGAGATGCACTCTACCACTGAGTTACACTCCTAGCTCTAAATATATGTATCTATTTAAACTTCTTACACCTCCTTTACTAGTATCCATGTGGGAAGTTTGTGCCAGCTGCCACCTACCCTTTGATGCTAAAAATACAGATCTTTTTCAAAAAAGGTGTTTCCTGAGACACATGCCAGCTGTTTTCCTCTTCCCTTTCTCCCTTCCTGTCTTTATCATCTGCTTATGATTATGTAATATTATATGATTTTTTTTCATATTTTCACCCTAAGGCTCACTAAATAGCAAACATTATTTTTGGTCTCAATTTCACCCACATGAAAATGGTCTGAAAAATGACAGTATTTGAGAATTTACTCTCAGATACTGCTAGGTGATTAAAATAGTGTGTTCTGTGTATACCGTGTGCCTTGCAGCCCTTCCTGTGCCATTTCTCAAAGACTTTTGGGGGAGTAACCAAGGGTGATCTTAAGAGTCAGGGGCTCACTTATTCTTTGTCTCTGGCAGAACACGAAGCTCAGAGCTGCAGTGGAGGTGACACCATGTTTATGAATGGAAGCATTCAGGCTGGGCTTCCTGTTGTATGTATATGTTTATAGATCTAAAGTTGTCACTTCCACGTGATATGAATGGCTTTAACAATTTCTATTTCTATTCTGTGTCACTGTGGGGGACACTTGGCAGTGCATCCAACATCAAAAACAAAATCCCTTCCTTTGGCTGATGTTCAACTTCCAAAACGTATTTTTAGCTTTGGAAAAGCATTCCCCTCTCCCTCTACCCTGCATGTATATTTTTACTCTTCTCTTATTTCATCCAAACTTCACCAGAGTTTGTTTCCTGGCAATTTGAGAAGTGAGAAATGCCTGCGTGGGGGGAAAAATGAAGACACATGTTGTGTTGAAATTTTGACAGGGAAGCATTGCCCAATGACAAAACCAGGGATGGTCTTGTGATGTTTCCTCTTACTCATCCTAACTTTTCCTATTCTGATCTGGCTCTCATCTCACTACAGGCTGCTCGAACTGTCTCAAATTCAAATGTTGTGACCTGTTTTCAATCAACAGAGCACTGATTTCTACGTTTACAAGGACAGCATTATGGGCTTAATTTAGAAAGCAGGAAGGACAACTCTATGGATTAAGAGGCCATCTTTTAATTCACTGCAAATATCAAAAGGCAGTGTGAGCCAGCCAGTGCCTGTAATCCTAGCTGCTCAGGAGGCAGAGATCAGGAGGGTTGTGGTTTGAAGCCAGCCCAGGCAAATAGTTAGAGAGACCCTGCCTTGGAAAAATCCATCATAAAAAAGGACTGGTGGAGTGGCTCAAGTAGTACAGCATCTGCCTAGCAAGTGTGAGGCCTTGAGTTCAAACCCCAGTACTGCTAACAATAACAACAACAAAAAAACCAAAGTAGGCAGTTCATTCAGCCCTCATTCTGATGTCTAAGTGGAATCTACTACTGATGGCTTAGAAACACTTCTCAACTTGTTTTCCTTCCTCAATCAACAAGGATCAAATGAGCACTTATGATCTGTCAGGCACAGTTCCAAGTATGGGGAACACAGCAATGAAGAAAACCATGCCTGTGACCTGTTGATTTTGCAAACGCACTGAACTCTCAATCAGGACACTTCAGAGGTTGCCTAAGGCCGGGCGGGAGCTTCTGTAGGGCCCTGACTAACTCTGTTCATACTAACTGTGATTTACTCTGGATCCAACTAAGCCAAGCACTGTGCTAGATAATCCTGCGAACACTTTCAGGCCAGAGGACCACCTTTACTCTCCTCTTCTTCATAACCCTGCCCCATCAGTCCCCAAGCTTCTGAACAACTTGAGCCTTTCTGTTAACTTTCCAAAGATCATCTGACCACAACCCCAGGCACAATCTGAAATTTACTGTCATGTAAATTTCATGTCTGATTTATATGATATCTTTTGGTGCCTACTTACATCCTGACTCTAAAAGAAACAAAAAAATAGACAACCAAAGAATACTGCAAAAATTATTTTCACACAAGATTAAGGTACAGTATTACAATGTATTATGTGCAAAATGTCATTTAAAAATCATTTACAAAAGCAAGTACAACACAGTATGTGCTGAGAGTTTTATACAACAAAAACTAAGGCTGAAAAAGGCACATGGTACAAAGCCCTCCAAATTAGATGACTATACACCCTTACACAGTACAGTAACAATTTTTTTAATGACGTGTTACACTGATACATGATCCTTCTAGAATGTGTACCTACAAACTGGCTTTATAAAACATGAATCTAACTTTGCCATACATCCATAAAAAACAAACAAACAAACAAACAAAAAACTTTTGTTTGTGGTTCTGGGATTGAACTCAGGACCTGTGCATAAGCAAGCACTTTACTACCGAGCTAAGCTAAACCCCCCACTTGCCATGTTTGTATAACGCAGATGGGATTTTTGGGTGCATTTTCAAACTCTTTTTCCCAACGGCATCTTATTTAGCTCAACAAAAGCCACATTATACATGACTTACTTTCTGCTCCAAATAATTGGATGCTGTTCATTTTGATTTATGTGTAAATGGGATTGGGGGAGTATTACCCTTTATTTTTTTCTCATGGGGTTTTCAAAATTGTTTCCTAAAGTAGATACCATATGGAATAGATTTTTGCCAAATCTCATTGCCTATATACAGTGTGTGTGTATGTGTGTGTGTGTGTGTGTGTGTGTGTACACATATATATATATATATATACACACACACATACATACAGATATATGTATATATAAATATACATCCATATATAAATACATATATATGTATTTTTTTGAAACAGGGTCTTGCTATGTAGCTCAGGCTAGTCTGGAATTTGCAATCCTCCTGCCTCTGCCTCCCAAGTGCTGGGATTATAGACATGTGCCACCATGCCTGGCTCTATTTACAGTATTTTAAGTATTGGTGGTTCCTTCCAACTACTTTTCTTATGTCATCCAAAGAGCCTGAACCAGCAGACTTCTCTCTTGGGTCCTTTGTTAAGAGTCTGTATTTCTCTCTCTCTCTCTCTCTCTCTACATTCATTTCTTTCTGTATTCTCAGCATCACTTGTTTAAAAAAACAAACAAACAAACAAACACAAACACACAGCATAACATGGCTAAATGTGCACGAGGTGACAGTACATCCGATTTCCAAAGGCATTCTGAGGCCAGTGTCAGGAATACATTGCTTTAAGAAATCCATCAGTCTCTCTTCACAAAGTTGCCAGAACATCCAGTTACAGAAGAGAGGGTTTTAAAATGCAATACTCTCAAATCCAGCAAGAGATTTATTTTCAAATATTAAATGTTAAAATCACATGCATAATTATAGAATATTTTAAAGTTACAAAAATATTTTAAAAATCAATCCTGACAGTTTACCGGCAACTGCTATAAAAATTTCTATAAAAACACAAAGACTCTGTGTAAAAAAAAAAAAAAGGAAAGAAAGAAAGAGGAAAAGGAAAGGGATCAGAGAAGGAGAGGGGAAGGGGAGGGGTGGGGAGGGGATGGAACCATCCACAGAACAGAGAAGTACCTGACGCACTGCACTGGGCAGTCTTGTCAAACACCTGCTGTTGGGTTCAAGAGAAGAGCTTGTACCTTAAATGTTTATTCAGCACATATACATATATGTAAGCCGACCTAGAACCTGGCTAGGAGCAGGCAGCAAACAATATCAGGATACTTGAACCATCAAAATGCAATTCTCCATTGCTGGAGGAGATGCTCACTGTTTCATGGATCTCAGGTACCTTGCCTGGCAATGTGCCTAACAATGCCCTTGACCAAGTCAGCCTGTGGACAACTTAGTCACTGAACTGAGGGGTCTTCAAGAAGGTGACTGAATTCCAAGCACAAGCATGTGGCAGCCAGAAGGTCAGATTCCTAGCTCCCTTTGGAGGCACCAATGGGAAATCCTGCATGCCTTCTATGAGGGGGTGAGGTCTTCCTCATTCTGGAAAATGACACCATAAGAATCATTCTTGATGCGCTTGTACACAAAGTGAAAGATGTGGGGTTGTGGCCGGCTGTGAAGCTCAGCCTTGATTTTTTGAGGGTAAGTGTCTTCTGCCAGCTGCTGCCACGTTTCATCAACAAAGAGAAAGAGGCTGTACTCCTCAGGGTCCTCCACCTTAAACTTCTCAGCACAGAGGTGACACACGTCCTCGGTGGTGATATAGGGTCTCACGAGGAGGGTCTTTCCTGTGCAGCCACTGTTGAACTCTTGGAATGCAACTCGGAGGTAATTCTGTAGATGGAAACAGAGATGTTACAAGAGGAACCAGTCAGCAAGAAGTCCCACTGTGAGAAGCAAGTGCAAAATCAAAGTTATAAGCCACTTTAAGGCTCTGGTTTGGCAGCATGTCTAGTGTCAGGCCATGAAGCTTGAATCACAAGGAAATAGGCTGATCTGAATTTAGTTGTGAGGAGGACTACTACGTGAACTGAGCTACCACATTTTAGTTCTTTGCAAAAAGAAGCAACTAGAAGGCCATTCAGCCCTGGTTTTCATCTTTCTGTATCCCTTATAAAGCCTGCTTAAGAAATCCCTGCATAAGAGTGTGAACTACATCTAAAGCTGGGATGATTCCCAGCTTGGAAAAGAAACCAAATAGCAGAAAATTTGGATGCAGGAGTCAGCAGGAAGAGACTTAAAACATCTAGACACAACAGCAGGTACCGTGCTTGCTTTGGCCTTAACACTTTTCTATGAAGCCTTAAGTAAGGGCAGTGAAGAAACTGCTGATGCCTAACCACTCTTTGAGCTCTTCAAATGGTGATTTCATGTGCTTCAACCTAATATAAGGGTCCAAGTGGCTTGGGAAAAAAACCAGCGGGAGGAGGATGTTGATTCTGCCAGAAGACTTTGGGAGATGATTAAGTACAAAGTGGTGTTGCAGGGACGTAAAAAGACATGTTTTGCAGGCTTGGCCTTGAGAATTGTGTGGGGTGTTTGCAATCTTGAAATACAGTAAACTTGGGGCCTCACACAGCACAAAGCCCAGATGAGGCCCAAAGAATCCTAAACTCATAGCAGGCTCTCCTGGATTCTGTGACCCTGGATTACTCTTCCAGTCTCCATGTCCTTAAGAGTAGGGCTCCCAGATAAAGTAGAGAATGCCCAGGCAAATTTGAGTTACATCTGAAAAACAAATACATTTTCTTTTTCTACATCTGGTGACCCTGCTTGGCAGTGAGGGAGGGGTGCTCTCTGACTAGGTTCTCACGCAGCTTTGGGAAGGACTGTGCACACTGCCCACATAAGATGTTTCGTGTCTACCTCTACAGAGGACATCTGCCATGACTCAGCAGAATGAGCTAGTGGGGATACCCAGACTGACACTATTGGACTTTAGAACGCATACATGTGCCATCGGACCACAGCGCCTTGCTTTACCCACCCCACTCACCCTGCCAATACTTGGTGTAACACTTGGCATGCATTTCTCAAAACTCCTGAAGAGAACTCTTTGAGAACAGTCTACATTATGCCCATTTAACTAGTGAAGAAACTGAAGCACGGAGAGGCTAGGTGACTTGCCCAAGGCCATGCAGCTTCTAAGTGGCAGAGCCAGTATTCCACTGCCCTTACCACTAGGTCACAGTCCCCCTGCCAATGTGAGGAGACTCTGTGTCTGTCTGTGACTTCGGAATGAGAGGAGTTTTGTGTCTGGGTTTTTGCTTTTAGTCCTGAACTGGGTGAGAATTTCCCTCTTGGGTGAAATTCTGAGAAGATGTTCATCTCCAAATTGAGTGTAGTCAACAGGGAGCACGTGTATCAAAGGAAGCATGGTGTCTGGGGGCCTCTAGGTTAAGAAAGAAGCTGCAGAGGGACAAAGGTGAGAAGAGGAAAGGCCTGGTGGCAGATGGAGAAAAGGAAGAACACACTTGTTTCATTCCTTCATATCTTCTCAGAGGATGAAGCACCTCAGAAGCCCCCTCCTTGCACAGCCCATGTGACAGTAGTCTAGGGGTCTAGACTACTGTTGTAAGTGCTAAATCACTTAAAACCTGGATGTTCTTAAATGACCCACTGGGATGGAGGCAGCACACAGCATGTGTTCTTGATTTTTAGATTTATATGACTGGAAGGAGTTTCTGAGAATTCCACAATCTTGGAGAACATGCTGATCTTGCTTTTCAATGACAGGCTGACTTTGAACCAAAATGTGCCTCTTGGTTACTTTCAGAGAATTAAGAAGGGGGAAAAAGGGCAAAGAAGGTGAATCTGGACAGAGACAAATCTGTCCTGTTTTTCCAGTTTCCTGCTAGGAAACTTGCCAGGTGGCACATAGAAACAAAGCACACTCAGGTTTTGTAATTCCATTTCAAATCTTCAGAATATTATTCAAAGACATTTGCAGACATACTCATAATTGCATGGACAATGGGCAAATCAGGAGTGGTTGGGTTGGGGAAAGGCTCTAGGAACCTACTATGCCACTCCTCTCTAAGAAAAAAGCTCTCTGGCAATCTGGCATTCCTGGGCACCAGCTAACGGCCCTGGAAATTCCAGCCTGGGGACCTGAAAGAGACTTGGCTCAGATGTTCACTCTTAAACTTTGCTTCCTGACTAGATGCCACAGCTGCTGCAGCTGAGGTTGTGGGGTCTTCTGTCTGGGGGAGTGAAGGAGAGAAAGGGGAAGGAGCAAGCAGCCAGCTGCAGGACATAACACTGCTGTTTCCTGAAAAAGTATGATACCAGACACCTGTGTCAGGTGCTCTGCCCTCCTTTTGGACTTCCTGTCTGGTCAAATACTCAGCACCCAGGCTGAATGTTATGGGAGAAATCCTGCCTTAATTTGACTTTCTTGTCCAAAGGGCAGTGAAATTGAAGCCAAGTATATACACACATGTACATATACACACACATGTACATATACACACATACTTATGTGGCTCAACTTAAGAGTTTTCAACACTATGATGATAGTAAAGTGATTCACACTTTTTAGAAACTATACTTTGAATTTTGAAATTTTTTGGTGTGTGTGTGCTAGGGATTGAACCCAGGGACTTGCACTACCACTGAGCTGTGCCCCAGTTTGAATTTTGAATTTGGATCCTTTCCCAGGCTAGCAACACGTGGTATAGTCCTCTCTTGTGATGCTGGGCAGCAGCATCAGTGAGCTGTTGCTCCCTGACAGCCTTGGGATCACAAGGGGCACTTCCAATCCTCTGTGGTGTGCTGATTTGCTAAGTTAGGTTAGACGCATTCAAAGCATTTTCTGCTTATGACATTTTCAACTTATGATGGGTTTGCAGGGATGTGACCCCTTTCAAGTTGAGAGCATCTGCATATCTAAACTTAAAGAAACAGAAGTGAAACAACAAGGTCAGAGGATGGCTTAAAACATCCCTTTTCCACCAGATGATTCAACCCAGAATGAACCTGGGGGCCCCAAGCTGGGATGTGCTGTGGAACCAGTTCAGTCTTCCTGGAGGACAGGGGAATAGCTTGGGGACTCAGCTGTGTACCTGGAAGTCATCCACGGAAGGGATGGTCCGGTTGGTGGTTCTCCGTTTGTGCCACTGCCTCAGGGTGTCCCTGGTCTCTGAGCTGAGCAGTCGTGCTGCTTGTTCTTCTTGGAAATTCTTTATCAGAGAGAGTGCTCCGTAGGCACTTGTCAAGTAATAGCCTCCTGGGAAGGGCAGAAAAAGCAAGTTCTCAAGAGTGTCACATTCTGGTTATGACAGTGGAGGTGTGCTAGCATTAGATGCCATATTGTTCTTCTGAACCCTCAGGGATGGGTTCCAGGACACCAACTTGGGTATCAAAAGCCATGGATGCTCAAGTCTCTTACATAAAAGTATTTTAATGTAACCTAAATACCTCCTCCTGTATACTTTAAATCATCTCTAGATTACTTATAATACTTAGTGAAATGTTAATTCTAGGTTAATCATTGTTATACCATATTGTTTAAGAAATATGGACAAGGAAAAAGTCCATATATGTTTAGTACAGGCATATTTTCTTTTTTCTAAATATTTACAACCCATGGTTGGTTGACTCCATGGATGCAGAAGTCCACAGATATGGATATGGAGGGTTGACTGTAATTTCCCCATTTCTTCCATAGAAGCACACATTCAAGAACACGTCATTCACTCTTCATCCATCCACTCATGCACCCATCTCACAGAGATTTATGGATTAACCCAGGTCTGTATCAGGAGCTGAGGGCACTGATGAGCTGAGAACAGTCCTGTTTCCATGGATGGGATTTCCATACTAGTGAAGAAGACAAAACTCCCACATTATTAAAGGGCAACTGCGAAAATGGTTTTCCAGAAAACGTCAGGGTATTGAGGCCTGTTGGGGAAGTGGGAAGAAAGGTAGCTGAGGAGAGCAGGACCAAATTCTCCCAGGCCAGAGTCATCTACAGATTTACTGGCAGTACTTGCTCTTGGTTTTTTTATTTTATGAATATTTTCTAAATTTTAAGTAAACAAAACACCTTGAAAAAAACTGATGCATACACAAAAACATGAGTATTTAAAAATAATTTCTCCTTGCTGATTTCCTTTCTTACACTTACTTGAAGACAATGTAGAATGACATTTAAGAAAAAATTTAAAAGCAACTGAGGCCAATAGGAAAATGGGACCAGGAACTAAAGAAAAGGTTAGATCAAAAAGAATTAACCTAGAAGGTAACACACACGTACAGGAAATCAATGTGAGTCAATGCCCTGTATAGCTATCCTTATCTCAACCAGCAAAAACCCTTGTTCCTTCCTATTATTGCTTATACTCTCTCTACAACAAAATTAGAAATAAGGGCAAAATAGTTTCTGCTGGGTATTGAGGGGGTGGGGGGGAGAGGGAGGGGTGAGAGGGTGGTAAGGGAGGGGGTGGGGGCGGGGGGGTGAAATGACCCAAGCCTTGTATGCACATATGAATAATAAAAGAAAAAAATAAATAAAAAAAAAGAAAAAATTTAATAGGAAAAGTTAGTGATGTCCCTTTAATGTGCCTTTAGGAACTATCTCTTCTGCTCATGGGGAGTATTAACACACTTACAACATAAGGAGATGCATATGCATTTGTTAATAGTTTTGTACTAAAATATAATTAGGTGCCTACAGAGGAATTTGTAAATTCTACGTTTGAGAGCCACTAGGGGGTGCCTGTATATGTATTAAAATTTTTGTAATTGGGTGCAGCATATTAATATTAGAGACATTCTTTTGAAAATATCTGCTGAATATCCACTGAGAAGCCCAAGCCAATCACAGAGCAGGGGGTCGTTTGTAAGAAATAGAACATGAGATCCTGCTTTCCAGAAATGTATAAATTTATTAAAGAAAACAAGAGCAATTTATTCATGCAGGGACTAGAATTTTGTTGTGGTTAAGTGAGTTTTTTTGTGGAAGTGTCACTTTCCTGGTTCAAGTATTTAACTGATCATGCAAGACCCTGCAGAACTCTCTAGCCATCTAATCAACGTATAAAATAGAAAAAGCTCTGTTCCCTGGGAGCATGAGCAGTGAACCCTGCAAACTTGCACTAGACACGAACTTGACAGAGAACACCTTCGTTCTCTGTTGATGTGCTGTGTTGACGGAGATTTGGGTGTGGGGTGTGGGGTGTGGGGTGTGTGTGGGGGGTGCTAAAGATCAAACCTAGGATCCCAATACATGCTAGGCAAGAATTTACCACTGAGTTGCAACTCTAACCCATGTCAAATTTTTTGCTTTGTGGTTTCCTGACCTGACCATCTGTGGTGTAAGTTCCCTGTGGCAGCCTGTAAAATGCCTAATCCAGAGTGAGTTGTTGGTCTTTATTTAATATTCGTCCAATGAACAAATCAGCACATGACTGAGCATGAAATGTCATAGTACAGAATGCAAATGGTAGACAAAAGATTTCAGGAGAAAATGATACTGAATTAAGTAATCGGAAGGGTTGTGAGGGTCATTTCCATCTCCTCTCTCTCTAGAGATGACTCGCTTTCAGTCTATAGAAAGTGTATTCCTTTTCTAAGAAACTTGAGAATCACTTTCATTATATTAAAAAAAGAAGGGTTGTGAGGAGGTGTCAGCATTTAACTATGACTTGGAGAACTGCTAGAGTCCTAGTGGGGAGGAGGAGGGTTCCTTTGAATTTCAGATTTTTAGACTCTATAGTTCCGATATGCTCAGGCTGGTAAGGAGAAACCTCAAAATGCTGGAAGCACAAAATTGACCATACTTTGAAACATATGGATGCAATTAGAGGAATGTTTTAAGTTTCAGCAAAACTGCAACTCTACCAGAAGAAAGAGCTGTACTCTTCTAAGGGATTCCATGGCGCCTGTTCTGAAAATGAGAATGCCTGCTTAAACAGCAGAAAAGACATGTGGCTGTTGCTTTGCAAACCAAAGAGGGCTCTGGGCAGGCTACAGAATGGATGATCTGTAATGCCTCACCACAGTTCCTATGGGTTTGCAAAGCTGCAGTTTGAGGTGGTGCAGCTTGATCTGTACCCAAAGCTAGCCTGCCTGGCAGTTCCACTCTCCCAAGGAAGGGAGCCAAGCAGACCCAGACAGTCAAGTGAAGCAAGCTCTAGTTCATCCACAAGCTCACAGATTACTCTGTGTGTCACTAGAATAACTTTGTCTTTTTCTCACATGGGATTTCTGGAAGTGAACACAGCCACCTGTCCATCTGTCATCAACACAGAGCTTTGCTTTGGGATTATAGGGAGAGAAGGGGCAGGAAATGGTTGTCCCTATCTGCAACCACAAGAGGTAAGTATCTGTTTGTCCTAAGTACACATCATCAGCAACAGAATGGTTATTTTCCAGGGGAGACTGGCATGCCTTTCCCCTCAAATTCTCAAGAGGGCTTCATATTTATTACTACAATTACATGTGACTAAAGCTTCAAAAAAAAAAAAAAAGGCATGGCATTGAGACTAACATATGCTTCTCTTGGTGCTTGGACAAAACCACATGTATTTCTCCTCTTTCCCAATCCCAGGGAAGAGAAGACATGTAGAAGGTCTTGGTGGCTCATCATGAACATCTGGGTCATGGCTGAGAATATTAATGAGGGAACATGAACAGGAAAGAGGGTAAAAGGAAGAAAGGGCCCATTCCTATCTGTCTGGGGTGGGACAGTGTGGAAGATGTTTATCACTCATCCTGTATCAGCACTGCCTAGAGAAAGCCTGTAAGAGTGTAGCTCTGGCTCTAGGGACCAGTGAACTCAGGTTAGAGGAATGAAAACATTAAAGGACACATTCTTGGAGTGATAATACATTTAAGTTCCTCCATGGAAAATGCAAGGTGATGTGTCCCCTGGAGTGAGTACTGTTTGCAGGTGGATCTTTGTACTCACAAGCCCAGACTGAAACTCCCTGAAGAAAAGAAAACAAATCCTCACCCTCAGGCTCTGTCTGGGTTCTCCCAGGGACACATGAAAATGGATTAGCAATGCACAGGCCCTGATCTGTTCTCCTTTAGAAAGACAAACTCACATGAGTGGCCCAGTTAGTGCTGCTTCTCAAGGCTGTGAGCCACAGTGCCAAGAATCAAATGGCTCTCCATGACACCATACCTAACTGACGTGTACAGAGGAGGAATTTCTTCTGCTAAAACATAAGGCAGAGACAAGAAGGAACCTGAACTTCTAGCAAACCACCCAGATTTCCCCCACTGTGTTTTTTTTCTAACACTGAGCAGATAAACAGGAAAGAAAATCAATGCTACTTTTATCTTAAAAACAAATAAAGATAAAACAAAAGCCAGGCTTTCATTTATTTCACTGATGCAATACAGGTTATTTTTCTGGCAATGAAAATATTTCCTGATAAAAGTTTGTAACTTCCTCTTCGATCAAAGAAACCATTCTTTGTAAAATGATATTTATTTGATGGAATGGTAATTTTTATTGTCATTAACCAATTTCAGTGAAGTATTAATTATGGCAGGGTCACATTTTTCTCTGTGTTTTTTTCTGATCCCATTTTTCACAATGAATATATATTACTTTTATAATCAACCAAAAGCCAGTACATACTTGTAAAGAAAATAATTAAAACTGAAGTTTACCATTAAGATGCTTAAAAAAAAAAAGCCCCCTACTAACTGCTTGATGGGTACAGGGCTTTATTTTGTTTTGTTTTTTTGATGGTGCTGGAGTTTGAACTCAGGGCTTCATGCTTTGCTAGGCAGGCCCTCTACCGCTTGAGCTATTCCACCAGTCCCCTCAGGGTTTTATTTTGGGATGAAAAAAATGACTTTGGGCTAGACAGAGGTAGCAGCTGTACAACACTGTGAACATGCTAATTGCCACCAAATTGTTCACCTTAAAATGGTTCATTTTATGTTCTATTCTGTTTATCTCAATTAAAAAAATGAAAATGAAACTAAAAAAATGAAAATGAAACAAAACCTACCCAGTTCCTACAACTTTTTAAAAAACACATTACCTTCTCCATGTAACAACGATGGGTCTAGGAGCTCCATCATATATTCAATTTCAGTGTCTAATTCAAGCATGTCACACTGAGCTATGACATAGGTCAGGACTGGCAAGAAGTCATCAGCGCCATACATCCTCCCTGGGATGAGGAAGAAAGAGCAGGATGAGAATTGTATCAACTTTTCTTTCTTTCACATCCTACTTACTACTTTTATTAGACAGAAAGAACTCATTCTGGGGAAATGTGCTATTTTTAAACAGAGGTGGGTGTTTCTGGAATCCTATGTAGTCCTTGACCCGCCCAGTTGCTAATAGGAGAGACCAGCCCTCACCGACAATCTCAGAATGAATGTTTATGAGTCAACTAACACATTTCAGATTTTCTCCCCACTTTTATGATTTGCATAGTTACAAACTAAAAGAGTACTTATAAATGTTTTCACTTTTAGCAAGTAATATTGTAAAACATTTTTTACAAAATATTTACTTATGTTAATTCTTTAAGTCTCATTTCCTATGGCTTTCTCTGCACATTAATCACAGACATAATGATAAAACCAAACTCAAACCTTTGCTCTCTACTTTGTGAATACACAGTTAAATTTTTTTTTTCTTGGGAGTACTCAGGGCCTCACTCTTGCTAGGAAGGTGCTCTACCACTTGAACCACTCCACCAGCCCTTTTCTGTATTGGACTTTTCCAAGATAGAGTCTTAGGAACTATTTGCCTAGTATGGCTTTCAAACCATGATCCTCCTGACTTGCGCCTCCCAAGTAGCTAAGGTTACAGGCATGAGCCACCCGGTGCCTGGCTCACAGTTAATTTATTTAAATGTGCCAATTCAGTACAAGACGAATATATGCACCGATTAATAGCAACATGTGGCAAAAAATTTTTAGACCTTAATTCTAGTTTCCTTTACAGTGACAGTTCTCAACCAGAGGTGATTTTGCTGCCCCAGGGGACACTTGACACTGCCTGAAGACATTTTTCACTGTCACGGTGGAGGCTAGTGTGGAACTGGCATCCAGGAGGCTAAGCTTCTTATAGGAAGCAGGACAGCTCCCACAACAAAGATTACCCTGTCTAAAATGTCACTAGTTTGTAGGTTAAGAAACCGCGCCAGAAGAAGGAATCCTATGCAGATGTTATTTTGGGATTTTTTTTCTTTTTTTGAGACAGGATCTCACTGTGTAGGTCAGGCTAGCCTTGTACTTGCTATGCAGCCCAGGCTGGCCTCAAACTCAATCCTCCTGCCTGCACCTCCTAAACGCTGGGACCATGAGTTTGCCACCATGCCTAGCTTATTTTGGTCATTTTTGCAAACCATTTTTGAACTACAGCAAATACACTTCATACTTGCAAATTTTAGAGGCCGTGTTCACAGACTATCATTACTAGCCCAAGAGGTCAGATTTTAATGTTCTCACTCAATAATCTGCAATATGCACACACATTCCTATCTATTCAATCAGAGGTTAATAGAGCTTATGTTTCCTCTTTGTTACTGCTCCATTAATTTACTCCGTAAAAAAGGTGGTAATTGCCTATAGAATCACAACATACTCACTGAAGACCTGGAATGGTGTGGGCTCCATTCCTACCTGTGAATCACGGTTATTCCTGCATCTACAGGAAACAGCAAGGGGAAATCCAAGGACTTACTTTTCTACTTTGCAAATCTCTGGTGAATTCCAACTACATTGCTTCAGCTTGTATCACAGAGGGGTGGGCCCGTGAAACTGCTCTAATGAAGCCTCATTGTTACTGAATGCTCCAAGTCTCTGAGTTTCTGACACATGCTATCAATCATTAACACAAATCCTCATTGGCCAAAACATAATAATGGTTATCACTAAGCTTTCCATTGCACTTAGGGCTACGTGTGAGTTGTCTCAGCTCATTCCCACTATATGATGGAAAGGGCCATCTATAGCTAGAGATGCAGAAACTGCAGTATAGGAGGTTAAGCCTGCCAAAGTCCCCTCAATAAATGAACTTATTCTCAGAGAGAGGATTTGAACTCACACCCCTAGAGACTGAGCTCATAACCACTACCTGAACTGAATTTTTACTCAACTCAGCATTGTACAAAAATTTCATTGTCCTTACATTTATTGGTGCTATTCACATGTGATTCATTTGACAGATATCAGAGTAACACTTACATTACCCCTGTACTGCTGGGCTGCTAGGTGAAATCAAGAAACCACAGACAGAAATCCTGGTGTGACCTGGAGGGAGGTGGCCCAAGGCCTGGACCTCAGCAGCCTCACCTGAGTTGTTCTCCATGACAGTGTAAATGAGCTTGCACACCCTCAGCAGCAGCATGACCTTCTTTTCTGGCGAATACATCTTCTGCATGGTCATGAATTTGACTTTAATTTTCTCCACATCCACCAAGTCAGGGGTGGGGGCAAAGACCCCCAGCTCCTGTGGATTCCTCTGTCGAACGAGTTGCAGGTTCTCCTTGAGTTGTTTCCATGAGCCGTCGGCCATGTGGAAGTCCTTCAGCATGGCCTCCACGTGCCCCTTGAGGGGCTTCAAGATACACTTGTGCATGGCTTTTTCCAACACCACATCTGCCAAAGGAAGCACAGCTACTGTGACCATTGTCTGAAGGAAGAAGAAACGCAACGTCTGCTTTCTTACAATGCTTGTCTGCAACTCTACATAGTGGTTAGAGGAGACAGCAGACAAGTGAGAACTTAACACCCAACAGACAACACCTAGCAACACCATGACTCACCACACCAGCATTTTTAATTATGAGCCAGCAAAACTTGATTTCCCCTAATAGTTTCTTACTTGCATATCATCAATACGATTAAAAATATCTGATTTACTTGCATCCCCCTCATAAGCAAATATTTTAGAAGACTTTCCTTTGGTCCACTGTCTTTTCCTGTTGACAAGAAAGAAAATATGTTATATTAAAGGAAAAATTTTCTAACAGAAAGGATTCAAGATCCCTTGAAAATATTTTGAGGAAATAAATTAATAATTAAACAAAATTAATAATTAAATTAATTAAGAAATAAACTAATTTCCCTCAGAAAATGTTTTCTGAGGAAATAAAGTAATAATTAAACTAAATAACTGAACTTGAATTGGATTCTGGACCAAAAACTACTTTGCTTTTTCTAAAGGACATCAGTGGGACATTAGAAAAGATCAAGATCAAATAAGGTCTGTAGACTAGGTATAGTGTTCATATGACTTCAATGTTAATTGTGTGACTCTGATAATTGTACTGTAGTTATGTAATAGATGGCTTTGTTTTTAGGAAATACACAATGAAGTACCTAGGGGAAAGTGGGCATAATGTCTCCAACTTACTGTCTCCTGGTTCAGAAAAAAGGAAGGAGTGTGTGTGTGTGTGTGTGTGTGTGTGTGTGGTGTGTGTGTGTGTAAACAAAAAGAAAGGAGAAAAAAGGAAATGTGTCAAAGTGCTAACATCTGGGGATTCTGGGTGAAGGCTAAATAGTTCTGCGAATTATTTGTGTAACTTTCCTGTAAGTCTGAACTGATTTCAAAATTAAAAGTTATAAAATGTTAAGTGTGTTTCTGTTCAGGGTTAGGACACACTTCAGATGTGGGCAATGTCATTCTTCCCTCCTTCCTGGTTGCCCAGCAGAGTAGCTTTCTTAGTAGATACTAAAATCACCAGTACCATAAATCTGGAAATCCAAGCTGAAAGTGATTTCTACAATGATAAATTCTCTGCTTTTTCAACACCAGATTTTTTTTTTTTAGAGGCCGGAAAGATTTTATTTGTAGAGAATTTAGTTGTAGAAAAGAGAAGAGAAAGACTGCATATTGAGGAATGCAGGGGGTCCTGGAAACCAGTGATCCCTTCAACACCAGATTTTTAATGTCACATGCTTGCACATTCTCATTAAAGCCACTTGAGTTCTACAGCAGTGATTCCCTCATATATGATACTTCAATATGATTCTGGTTTGGAAGCCCCTGGACACACTTACAAAACTGGAAATAAGTTGTCTCTCTGGACTCTGGAATTCCTGACATTGGATCAGATCATATTGAATTCAAATTACTATCTATTATTAGAAGTACAGGGAAAAAAGAGTAATCTAAGCCAGATGAAAAAATACTGAAAACAAATTTCCTCTACCTTGAAATCAAACTGAGGCCAAAAGTTAATGCTAATTCTACAATGATTAGATCCCCCAGCCCATGGTTTTCTTTGTTCCTCCACTTCCAAATTCTGTCTGGGAGAGCTTGTTGTTTAAATATAGAGCTTAATATAATACAGAAATCAGGACTGAAGCAAAAGAGGTCATAAAGTGAGAAGAAAAGCAGAACATACCTCACATTCAACATTAAAACAAATTACTTGGTTTGGTTGTTTTGTGTTAATTAAACTTGTGCAATTTCATAGCATCTTTGAATTTACTCTATATGATCATTACCATGAAAGTCAATAATAGTAATTAATATTGAGCACTCAGATGGCTATGTCCTATCCAAATACTTCACCCATTAGCATCTAATCCCTGCAATAACTCTTACTGCTTTTGAATAACACTAACTCTATGTCCAGATGAGGAAACTGAGGTTCAGAAATGGCTAATGGCTTGCTTGATGTCACATGACTACTTGAAATAACCATATATACTGGTTTTCAAAGTAAATGATCTCCTCTCTTCTTTTTTTGATGCTGTTGATTGAACCCAGGGCCTTACCCATGCTAGGCAAGTGCTCTTATCACTGAGTTACATCCCCAACCCCAATTAATCATCTCTTAACATTAAAGACAAGGTACCTTATGAACATTCACCAGTTTATTTTTCTCATCCAAAGGTTCATGAATATTAGTGACCTCTACTGGGTAAAACAGGGTCAGCAAGGGGAGAGGGCAAAAGTCATGTCAATCATTAATAAGTAATGTACATGAATGTTTATAACAATGCTATTCATTTTTGTCACAAATTGGAGATAATCCAAAGCCTTGTCTAATAGAGTGGATAGATGGGATATATTTGTACAATGGAGTTCAGACAATGGAACACATTGATTCAGTGAAGAAGTGCAGTGCTGCTCCAAATGCAGCATGGGTAAAGCTCACAGACACAATGCTGTGGGAAAGAAGCCAGATGTGAGAGTCCTACAGCATTTCATTCACATAAAATCCAAGAGCAGGCAAAACTGACCTATGGTGTCATGATGGCAGTTACCCTTGGGGTGGAGCCAACTGGGAGAGGGCAGGGGCAATGGAGGTGTTCTATTTCAGGATTCATGTGGTAGCTAGATCTGTGTGGATGTACAAAGTTCAGCAATTAAGATTTACGTACTTTATGGATGCAGATAAACATGTAGTATCAGATAACAGAAAACAACAAAACCAGCATAGGGTTTTCACCTTGAACTCCAAGAGAAACTTTTAACTTCAGAGTGAGCCTAGCAAGTTGAGTAGGTGCTGGCCTTTACCCCATGAACTTGACCCTTAGGCATAGTGGGACTGTGAGAATTCATTAGGAGATCAATTAGGCAATTGAAACTTAGATCCAATTGCCAGGTGAATAGCCCACTGTCTAACAATCCAAAATGAAAAAATAATTGCTGGTGCTGAAACCAAAGGGAAAACCTGAACAAACTCTCTGGTTATTAACCTTTTAGCTTCTAATTCTTCTAATTAGTTCTGCCTTCTTCACTGATTGATTTTAAAGTCACACAGCCAAGCAGTAAACTATTAGACTCCTTGTAGCTTTACTATAGATGACTGACATATGGTCACTATGGTAGCAATTGTTTATGTTATTTTTCAGGAATTTGGAGGTAGCCTAGTCTAGCTCAAACCAGCTAAAACCAGTGGATCTGGTTCATTTGGATCTGCCACACATGTCTAATAGGTGACCTGTCAATGTGAGTCAATGCCCTGTATAGCTATCCTTATCTCAACCAGCAAAAACCCTTGTTCCTTCCTATTATTGCTTATACTCTCTCTTCAACAAAATTAGAAATAAGGGCAAAATAGTTTCTGCTGGGTATTGGGGTGGGGGAGAGGGAGGGGGTGGAGTGGGTGGTAAGGGAGGGGGTGGGGGCAGGGGGGAGAAATGAACCAAGCCTTGTATGCACATATGAATAATAAAAGAAAAATGAAAAAAAAAATAATAGGTGACCTGTTGATGTCAGAGAGTCAAAATGTCACCCTTAGAGCTAATGCTGCCATTTTCTGGATGCGTGTTCTATGAAGAGCCATGAAGTCTGACTACGCATGTGCAGACCACCAATTACTTCACTTTCCCTAACGCTAATCACCTTTTCCCATGTCTCAGTCCACCCTATTCTCTTATTCCATAAGTATCCCTAAACTGTACCTTCAGGAGGTGGATTTGAGACTTGAGTCTCCCATCTCCCCACCTTTGACCACTTTGTAAATAAACTCTGTTCCTTTTGCAGAGCTTGTTAGCTGGGTGCCCATGGCTCACGCCTGTAATCCTAGTGTCTCAGGAGGCAGAGATCAGAAGGATCCTGTTTGAAGCCAGCCCCTGAAAATAGTTCACAAGACCTTGTCTCAAAAATCTCAACACAAAAAAGGGCTGGTGGAGTGGAGTGGCTCAAGGTATAGGCCCTGAGTTCAAACCCCAGTACTTCCCCCCCCAGCCCCCACCCAGAAAAAAACCCACCAAAAACAACAACAAAAAACCTTGTTGCTTCAGTGATTGTGTGGTGAACAGGTCTGGTTCTGTAGATGCTAGATATATTTTTAAGTACTTAAAAAAAAAAAGACCACAGTTAAAAAATAAGACTTCTCTTCATTCTTTTCCAGGTCTTTACTCTTAATCACCTCAACCAACAAAAAAAATTCTTTATAAACATAGAGAATGAAAAGAAAGGCCCTGTGACCCAGCTCATTCTTTCCAGTTAGAAAATTATGGTTCTGTTCGTAAGCAAAAGGGAAAAATTATTTGAGGAACACAAGAAAAGAAGGATCTTTCAGAATGAGGACTAGCTCAGACAAAAAAAGGAAAGAACACACCCATCATGTTCTTGTAAATTATTCTTCTTGTAAATTACTCCTCTCTTTCCTCATGCAGCCAGGAAGAGGGGAAGTCAGGTTTCAAATCTAAGACATCTGTTTCTCTTGTTCTTGAAGGTATGTCAATTGCATTTACCTACCAGGAAGCATACATAACAGACACTTGCAAACACCAGAAACTATTAAAATAAAATGAATAAGGTGTTTATGTTTTTCTTGAAGCTCATTAATGTCTTTTCTATTTTTTATGATAAGAAGAACATACTAGAGAATTTCTTGAACTATAACATATTGAATTTTAGAAACAAAAGTTGAACTACTTTCTGAATGACCAAAACTAGAAACAAGTTTTCTGAAGACATTTATATAGATCATATCAATTGGTTCCAAAGACCATGGCTAAGTGGAAAGTAGAAAAGACCAAGGCAATGCTTGAGTTCTGCTTGCCTTACTGTTACTAAATGTAGTAACTGATAGGAAATATTCTGTGTGTTGACCTCTACATAAAAATTGATTCACTCCCTGATTAACAAAAGGAGGCAGAAGCCTGACCCTTTTTTCTTCCCCCTGACCTAC